CATCGATCAGATCAGCATTGGTGCAAAGGTTTTGGTAGTAGAAGGACCCTGCCCTGCTGGGGGTACTCCTTCAGCTTGGGACGTGTCCAAAGAGGAACAGATTCTAATACCTGGCGCATCCACCCGAACTTGGGTTTCCAGCAAGGCTAGCGATACTGCTCAGGCATGCGCTATGCAACTGATGCTCAAGCCTAGCCGCGCAAAGAAGTCAGGAATTCGAGGCTTGTGTGCTCAGATCAGAGTGGGTCCTTAATTAACTGTCAGCCATTTTTTCTAGGCCCGTACTGGGGTGGCGACATTACAGCCCTCCACGCCTCTGCAGCCCTAGTTTTGAACGAGCAAAGCTTACACCAACTCATCAATGGCAAAATCGGAGCAAAACTTCCTGCATCAACGATAGGTGTCAGGGCCGTCATTGTTAAGCAGTGCTGCAGCAGAAGGACTCTACGCCGGGCCGACTTCTCCGAATCATTGCCTCTATTGCTCCGCCGCTGCTTGCAACATCAAGGGCCCGAGCTGCTCGAATGAAGCTGGGGTATGCAGGGGTCCAATTCCTGGTTGCCAACTCTACAACAAGCAGCTTAGGACCTGTCGAATTTGGCATGGGCATTTGCCACTCTCGATCTGCGGAAGTCGCTTGGCAGGGTAAAGGGCACAGGTTTTGCAGAGAGTGCGGAGACTCCAGGTTCTGGGGTCTAAGGTTCACACTTTGTCGGCTGGCTATTGGGGACTTCATTTTTGAAGCGCAAGACTGATGGGCTTTCTGGTGTCTATCACTGGTTACTGAAGAGGTTTTCTCCATGTTTCTCTCCAGGACCTTGCGCCTATGTCAGTCACAAGCTCTTGTTTCCCATCTTAACCTGAAATAAGAAGACTGTGCTGAAGGTTCGACTCTGTGATGATGGCCATCGCCCGCGAGGTTCAGCATCTATTGCAGCAAGTTGCAACCATGTCTCCGCATGCTTCGATCCACTAGGCATTCCACTTCTCAAGCTCGCATCTGAAGGAACCACAAACTTAGTGGGAGAGGTTCAGACTTTTGTAGGCCAGAGCAGATCGTGCGGCCGAAGTTGCTCTGCCCTGTTAGATACTGCGGTTGCTGCGAAGACGTAGTCGAAGCGCACCTGTGCATGGAGCGATGTCCTGCGCTCTCCCCAAGTTCGATCTTGAACTAAAGCACTTGGTGCGGTGCGCATGTCGCGGTCATAACATCATGTCTGAAGTGTATCCGGTCTTGCTGTGACACACTATATGGCATGTCAAGCTGCACTGTTGGACTCCAAGTGTCCGATGTGCCTGGTGCTCTGAGGGGCAATTCCTAAGCTGCCGCATCCTGAGCCTAAGTACCCAAACTTGTTGATCGTTTTGCTCTACACTTTGATGGTTGCCGATCCTGTGATGCTCGCTCTGCCTGAAGACTAAATGTAAGATGCTTACTGAGGGATTCTTCACTCTTGGGAAATGAAATTGATCTCTATATACGGGGGCCTCGAACAGGGGAAGGTGACAACTTCCACCGTCGCATCCGCACATGTGGCAGCAGCCTCAGAGGCTGTGGTTCAGATCTCCGACTTCACAGAGCAGACTCCTGGTTTGCAAGCAGTGGGCCGGTATTCAGCACCAAGAGCAGGGTTTCTGTGATCAGCAGTCCGCAAGAAGGACCAAAAGCTTGGAGCCAACCTGAGGCGACGCCCGCCCAGCTGCCCGTTTTATCCAGTCGTAGCTGCATGTGTGAGTAGGACTAAAGTTCTGAGTTGTGACGACCGAGACTACACACAACTATAGCTACGTCTCGCAGTTAAAGCTTTTCGGGTTGTGTCTGGCGTTCCTTTCTGACTCCACCGCTCAGGATATGACCGATGTGTCGATTGAGGTGTAGTATCTACAGGCAAAGCGCATTGTGGATTGTGTTGCGGTTGTAAAACTGCAGCAAAAAATCCCCAAGCCTGGCAGCACACACTCGCCTTTCTCATACTTTGGCCTGGTAGTTGAGGAACCTCTCCAACACATGCTGGGCCTTTGCCAAGATCGGCATACGCCACGATCCTTTGATCAAGGCAGCTGCATCGCGAGGTTTACTGTGCCAAGTGCTAACTGGAGTTGACAAGTCGGGGCCGGGGCTCAGGATTTCGAACGTCTTGTTTTGAGGCTTGGGATCTGCACGTGCGTTCTTGAGTTGGTTGGGGTTTTCGGGCAGGGCTCCTGTCAGGGGTCTGTACGGATGCTGATGACGACATTTGCTCGAGACCAGTACTTTCCATCAACTGCTGGCACACATGTAGGCGTTGGAAGGCTCTTCAGCCCTTTTCCAGCCACGCCGTGATCACCACTTTGGGAAGCATGCGCAAGAATCGTCACTATCAACAAGATGGTTCTTAATTGTCATTCAGTTGAACCGTGTGACCAAAGGCAATCGCAGACGAGACCCTGCGCAAACTTCCGCAGTTCTCCGCTCAAGGTCTCGTCAACACGCTTTGGGGCAGCTGGGCTCCAGCGTAAAGGGGGTTCAGTGACGGGCTCAGTGCCAAAGGCTTGTAATTTTTGGGCCCAAGGCTGCAAGAGGATGCGACCCTGAAATGGCAGTCTGGTTTGCGCGGATGGTACTTGTCCTGTCTGCATCCGCGTCAACAGTTTACGGAACCTCCAGGATGATCAAAAGTTAAGATCTTTGATGCGGTGTAACAGTCAGGCTCTGCGAAACTGCAAGATGCTAGTACATCCTCATACTCTGAAATCAGGCACCACGTCTAGATCAGAGTGTTCCGCGGTCTGCGTAGAGGCTAACTGATACAGTTTATGCGCCAACGCAACGGCCTTTCTCTGGAAAGTAAGGTATGCCTGTTAAGAGGCTGCTTCTGGGCCCAGTTCGGGCGCAGGATCAAGGGGTTGCCAGAATTAGACTTGTTTGCACGAACAAACAGGACAAGCTGTCATACATCAGCCTGTGTTCCCACAAATCACACCTTTCAGTGCTTGTAAGGCTTTGCCACTCTGGTCATCAAAGGAGAGGAGTGTTTCTGGGCTGCATAATGTGGTACCCGATTCAATGAAGAATTCCGGAATAATGAAAAGTTTTTGGGGAATTTATTCAGAATCAGCTATTGTTTGAGGGGTCCGGAATAATGAAAAGTTCTGGGGACAGAAATAAAAGATGGCTGATCTTGAATCTTAAACCTGTTTACATTTGTCTTAAAGCTTCCACTAAGATNNGGCAAATTTAGGGGAGGCCGCCGTATTAAAGAGGAACGGTAATTGTTCAGGAGGGGGGTGCCCGTATCATTAAACAGGGTCCAACATTAGTGAATCTAGGCGCCGAATGCAGTGCCGAAGACCTTTCAGCTTGAAGCGCTTTCATAGCGCGCAAGTTTCACTCCTATACCCCATGCAAGGCCTGAACTTTTTCCAGGGCGCCGGGCCGAAATCCAAGTGACGCAGACCATCGCGCCGGAGCTTCATGCAGAGCAGCGCTCTGTGCGCACTATGCGCCACTGATATTGCATGTTTTTCCAGAACAAGCCTTCTGTATTCAATACAGCAGGTACTCGTACAGAGCCCAAAAAATCTGCAATACTATTGCTCAGTCTGCGGCACGATTTGTCTCATCTTTAGTTTCACGCAGGTTTCGAGAGTCCCGAAAGCTTGCCTTCACCCGCATCACCAAAAGCCGCCCAAGAAACTCCGTCACAACTGAAGAAATTTCTTGCACACGTCTCAACGACGCAGGCCTTGGGCAATCCTCCTGGCAGCTCATTTGCGCTCTGCTGGAGGAGATCATGCGGCGACTGCCGGACTGCACCACACAGGCCCGGGGATGGTACAGCCACGAATCACGGGGATGAAGTAAGATTTGTGAACAAGCACCTGCTAGAATCTAGGGTCTGATGAACGGAAGCCGACTAGAGCAAGGAGCCTGAATTTGGGACAACCCATATGGTTGATGAAGTTTTGTTGCCGTTTGCTATTCGAGATATTGCTGCATGTGAAGGGGCGAATGCGGAGATGATCGCGCTCGAGCTGCTATAAAAAGCATGCAATCCTAGATTGGCTTTTGCACCGGTGAGCTCCACCTGAGCTTTTGCGAAAAGGAGCTAAGCAACAGCTCCTGGGCCTGTTGTCGCCTGGGCGTACGACATGCACCTCGGTACTTTGTAGCAAGAGCCAAGCGACAGCGTCGCAGAAAGTACGTATCCATGGTCTGAGGAACCTTTTGTACTGCATGAACCGAACATGTACTAAACGAAAACTACACGAGCACGGTTTGAGGTGAATGAATTTTCCATGTATCCGAGCGTACATGTCAGCGAAGGATGAGAAGTCATCCAAGTTCAAGAGGTGTAACAGTTGCAGATGCTGTTGTGCATATTGGCTGACTGCTTGGCTGTACTTAGATGAATCGCAATTGGGGCTTGAAGGTCAAGGATTGTCAAAGCACAACTAAATGCTGGCTCTGTTGCGGGGTGATCTTGCTCTCCTTCAGGTCCTGTTTGTTCATGAAAGGCAACGTAGAGACAGGTCTTAGTCTGCCGTAGTTCAGCAACCAATATTCTCACCAGTCAGAGGCCAAGGCCTGTTGTAACATAAGCTTGCCGGAACCATGCTTCTTAAGGGCCATCGACGGGACCCTGATGTCCAAGTCCAATTCTTGGTAAAAAAAATGAGAGTTTGTGCCTGTGCTACTGAGGGCCGTAGGAAGCAATTGCGGGATTTCTCTGATAGTTGGCGATTCTGAACCTGAGGCCTTAGCCCAGCTAACGCATCAACGTAACGTAGGTACAGGGACATGGCCCAAGTTGTTGCAGAGATTCGAGCCTCTAGTGTCACTCGTCTCTGACTTGCCTTAGCAAACCTGCGCAGATGTTCTCGCAGCAACTCTGCCAGGGAATAGCCAAGATGAATGATACATGGTGCAAAGTGCTCACAAGAGTCTCGGTCATGCGAATGGAACAACAGCACCCACACTGATTCTTTACTGAAGTTGTCAACAATACAAGGATGGGTTTATGGCGGCTGTGGCCGAGCAGGGACTGAAGATCGTGACGGATTATACCTGCCAGGATTGTTCAGGGTTGAGGCTCATGTGGTTGGGGGTTTGTCCCGTAAGGTTTTAGGGTTCAGGTTGTGTGGTTCAGAGTTGGCACATGAGAAAGAGCTGGCTCGTTACAGTATCTCAGCGGGCTCAAGTTAGGGGAGTCATTAGTACAGTAGCTTCTTTTCCAGGTTTGTCACTTAAAAAGCTTGCATGTCGAATTGCTAGGGGGTTCAGTTTCATTTGGCCTTTCATTTGCACTTCTATTTTCCAGCATTATTTCTTGCAGTGCGCCAAGCACCTGGGATAGATTCTCAAAGCTCAAGGCGCGCTGCGAGCGGTAATCGCAGTGCTGGCGAACACAAGCCCCAATTTTATAAGCTCACCAATTCCGCTTCTGCATTGCCATAGACCAGGACATAATGACGCAGCGAAAGGGCTCAAGTTAGAGACTCGTTGGGCCTTGAGGGGGTGTGGGGATGTTGTTCTGCAATGCTTGTTGGGAGTACTGAATCTCTGGACGTTCCCTGAACATGAGCTGGATTTGAAGTTCTTATATTTCACAAAGCCCACTCATATCAAATAACCTCATGGCTTTCCTTATCTCCTTGGAAAAGGTGGCTTAAGCTCTTCAAAGTATGATTTTTTCCAAACCTGCTTTCAGGACCTGGCCAACACAGCCATGGCCTTTGCCAAGCCCAACATCTGCAACAGGCCGTTTCTACAGGCAGCTTGACTTCTGCTACTTCAAATCCAGGGTTCCAGAATCATTATGACAATGACTACCGTTCCCACATTTCCCATAAACAGAGATGTGCCAGATCAGCATGCCTCAGCAGAAGGGTCACCAATGCTGTCAGCACCAGAATCTGCAGATCTGCCGTTGTTGACCGTAGCCCGTGCTCTTTTTGGCGCGGAGGGGAGAATCCAGGCTCTAATCCCCAAAGTTGATTTACACTAATAGAAAAGGTGCACGTCTCACCCCTGAACTCGTCATAGGGCCTGGCATTCGTCATGGCACAACCTCATCCCACATGGAGAGCGAAATTGGGCCGAATGCTTTGAGAACGTGACTCAGTTTTCAAGACATTCTGCCAAAAGCATCGATATTCGCATTGCTATGGCTGGGCTGGTTCATGTTAGCTTCGGATTGCTCATGTAGATTCTGTGGATCTCCAAAGAGCATCCCCGCGGGCGCAAGGCTTTGGCCCATCACTCTGCACGGAAGATGCGGCAGTACTCTGGCCGTTCAGAAGGGGTAGACGACATGCAGGTCACATACAAACGGGTGAACTTATACATATGGTTTGGTTTAGTCTTTCAGTCTCCTTGTAAGCAGTTAGGCTTCACTAGTAGAAGTTGACTTTGGTCAGATTGAGGGCCTTCGTGCTCCAAGGTGCAGGGACGCGTTTCAGGTGTGTCGGACAGGTCTTTGCTGATCAAACCTGGGTTTCGGGACTAAGGGATCCTGTGTTCCGCAGCTCCAGAAGCACAGAAGCCCGAGTGGAACGGATGGCCAGTGGGGTACACAATGTTCGGCATAAACGAAAAGCATCAATGCAATGTACTAGGCGACTTTCGAAGTTTGGTGCGCTGAGTTAAAGTTATGTCCTTGTTGTTGCCGTGCTGGAGAAATTGAGGCTGCTGAAAGGGCAAGTCTCACAGCGTAAGCTCAATGACCCCGCATGTCATCCTTGCCTTCAGCCTCTCTTGCAAACGTTGGTCAACAAACTTCTGACACAGGCAGCACTGCAAGGTTTGACGCAGGAGCAACTGTACCTGAGCACAGGCATCTGCCCTTTCTTGAACCTTTCCTTTACATACCATCTAGGCGCTGCCAGGCCCCGTGATCCCTGTCACTGACAAGCCTTCGGCCGTTGCAAGGTTTGAAGCCAGGGAGGTCTCCAATGCGTTGTGGTCGTTCACCATTGTCGGCCCCGGTGTTGTGTCTTGACGCTTAAGAGCTTCAGGTTAAAGATCCGGCCATTAAAGTCCATGTAGATCCTTTCTATCAAGATACCCATAGCGCGATAGAAAGCTCTTCCCTGGGCTTGCCACACGGCTATCACACCACACCATGCTGTGCTGGTTCTCGTTCTCAAAGAGCCCTTATCATCAGCATCCCATGCTAAACTTCGTCGAGGACCAGTCCTGTTGGATAGGCCCTGAATTACCCTGCAAGGTTGGCAGAGCTCGATTAATCAGGTCTGTGTCTTGTCGCCTGCGGTGTGATTGTTTGCACTAGCGGCCAGCTTTTGCAGCTCCACGAAGGTACGTACAAAACGTATGATAACAATTAGGGCTTCTGGGCATCAAAGAGGTTTGGAATGAATTGGAGGTTCAGGTGGAGTCCTGTTTCCGGCAAACATGCTAATGTAGTTGCTTGATGGGTTTGAGCCTGGATGCAGGCTTGACATGGCCTCGACCCCTTGCTGGTTAGGACTGATGGCATGGACAGCATTGGCAGAAGCATTGCAATGCCACATGAAAGCCCAGTATGAGGCATCAATCCCTCATTATGCACGTACGGATTTAGATCCTACACTGGCGCTGGGTTCCGACCCCGTAACCAGCCACATCTCTCCATGCATCATCCCCACTACAGCATAGCAGTCGCATTGGAACTTCTTGCAGCATGTTGGACGCTTGCGGAAGCGTGTAGCAAGAGAAGCCAGCTGAGCTCAAGAACTGCAAAGTCACAAAGTTGGGCAAAAAGGAACTGTCCAAATAGAGAAGTCCATCTCCCTTCCGACCCTTCACACCCAGCCCTGCAACATTTTGTGGGAGGAAACTCCAGGCCCAGCGTTGCTGCAACGTTTTTGAGGAAATACACAAGAACTTCCATAGGGTTGGGCAACGATGCGACATGTAGCATTCTGCAAGGAAGCTCCATGACAACAGAGTGCTAGTACTCAGAGGGTTCCCTGCCCATGAGCGCAGCAACGATGCAACACCCAGCAGCAGTCTGGGGGCCTGCTTTGCTCAAGTTACGCACGGTACAGCGATAAATTCCCATTATTTTAGCGCAGGTTCTCAGAGCCACGGAAGTATCTAAGAATGACCACCTCAATGAATCAAGGGCTGGTTTCCATGCACATCCCGAACCGCTTCTATGTAGGCTTGAGCAAATAGCTAACAACCTCAGAAAAGGCATCAAGCTGTCGCAATCAAAGCCAATTTCACCGGATTCATGAAGCCTTCAGCCACAACGAGTTTCAAGCCAGAGCTTCACCCAAAAGCATTCAGGTGGGCCCTGATTGGCTGGACCCTGCCTTGGAGTCATGCTTGCACTTGCCTTGTTTGGGGGAGTATGCAAGTCCTCTTCTTTGTATACCCCCTCGTTCCACACAGGCACGTTGTATAAGGGTTTGAGAAGGAGATCCTGCGTGTCAAGGGATGGATTCAAGGGATGGATTCACATCTTCGGGGGAATTTTGAATTGGTGGGGCGTTTTCCTGGGCGCTATCGAGTGCGGTACCGGTTCGATCGAAAGCTTGCAGGGGAATGCCTTTGACCCGGCTTGCTCCTTTTTGTTGCGCTTGGGGCAGCTGAGGACCATTTCTTGAACTTGATCCGGATGCGCCAGTACGAAGGATGGGAACTCGTTCAAGTCGTGAACGCCACCTCATCTGAATTCTTACGCCATGCATCGGATTGAATGCTAGATTGTGCACGACTGATAGCTGTTCTGCTCGGAGAATCATGCGGATTTTTTCACGATAGAATAAGCTCAAGGGTGTAGTACAAGATTCTGATGCATTTCTGCAGAGATTGCAGTCACTGCTGTAGACGTATCACGAACCTCGCTGAGAAGAAGGTCCATACGTTGATAGATCAAATCCAGCATCTGGATCCTGCAAAGACGGCGAAGGGGCCAATGAACAGCAGACACCTCATGTTCATACGAATCCGCGAAGGCCACAGGTCGATCGGAAGCTCTATAACAGGGTTGTTCTCGACTACAGTTTTCAAGGCGTTCGGATTCATTTTGTGGCATGCCGTTCTCCTTTAGGTACAGTCTTAGTCGCAGTTCTATGGCTTAGCTGGCAACATGATCAACAGGGGCAAAGCACCGTTCAAGTCAGCAACAGGTTCTCCGCGAGGTTCTCACTCAGGTCATGAATACACAGGGTCGGCACTAGTGGAGTCCGGCAGCCCTGGCTGCGAACAAAAAAATGGCAGGATACCGACGCCGACACATGCCTTTGATCTGAAGCAGCACATCCAGAATAATGAGGTCTACAGATAGTCCCTAGTATTTCAATGGTGCAGGAAAGACTGGCAAGACTTGATCATGCTATAAATGAAGCAAGCCTAGGCCTGCTGGCCTCACCGCGGACAGCTGAAGCATTGGGCAGCTCTTGAACGAGTCTCGGCCAAAACAGGAATCTGAGAATATGAGACTGGATGGGTCGTCCTAATTTCATTTTGTTGGCAAGTACAAGGTGTGCAGTTCTCCACATCGTTCTTTCGTTCTGGGGTACGTAGTAGTGCCGCGGCTGTTGAGCTGGTACAGTCCGTGGTAGCTCTTAGCTGGGGCTGGGGATGGGATTCCTAATTGTGCGTGAGCAGCGTTGAGGCTTGCCGGGGAGGAATCTACGCTGCTTTTGAATTTGCAGGTTCCAACATTTGCCTTGGGGTTTCCAAGTGCATGCTTTATGTGAAGGTTCCGCAGATTCGGGCCCATGCAAGGTGAAGAGGAATAGGACTCCAAGTGCAAACTGGCCGAGAAAGCCACTGTTCATCAGCTTGAGCATCTGCCTTGAACAGTTGTTTCACTTCTCTAATCAAAATCCCTGAAGCCTGTGCCAAGTTTCGAACCTATTTGGCATCATACGATCAGGAACCTTCAAAGAGCGCGTCTTCATGCGCGCGGCTTGGAAGCAGGATGTGCACAGGCCCTGCCTGGTCCGGCTCTTGCCCCACCCGTAGCGTTCCCAGCAACATGAAGTTCTCCCCAAAATAGCTAGCAAGGCTCTGGTCAATGGCCCCTGCACTTGGATTCATGTGAGCGTTCTTGCTCGCTAGTTTGTGGAAAGGCGTTCCTTCCTAACTCAGTAGCTTCTTTGGGCAGGCAAGTTCAAACATGGACTGGGTCCAGGTAGAACGGCTCGGCGTCACAGCCGTACAACCTAAAGCCTCACCGCAAACTGTATTCCAAGCATAATTACAGGACTTTGGGCGCGAGTTTCATTTGGTTTCTCAAGGCTTTCTGTAGATGTTGAAGCATGAAGTAATAAATCTCATTGCGCGAAGCCTTCAGTCTTCTTAGACCTGACTCCCAAACCATCTACACAAAAAGACTGCCAAAAAGAAACTCCCCAAAAAAATCAGGCGAGCATAGCACGCTCTGATGCAAAGCGCGCGCACAGCGAAGCAGTGCGGCACGCCAAAGTCCATAGCGTCCAGGTGAAATAAAGGCTCAGACAGGGCGGGCAAGTGCAGCAAGGCTGGCCACCCGTCTGCCCGAGCAGAACTGTGCTAACAAATTTCGCGCAGCCTGCAGTAGAGCCGCGTTGACCCCCAAAACAATACCATCAAGAGGGAAATCAATCCCCAAACCAACCCGATTCAAGGCTTGAACCAGCAGGCAATCAGCGCCAAAAATGGCAAGGACCTCACGGACCGCTTTGCGGACCAGATGAAGCCTGCCAGCCACCGTTGGTGGAAGCGGCAGAAAAGCTACTTGGCTGGCCGGAAGCCACTTTCCCTGGCTATGCGCAACCGGATAAACAGTGGAACCCTCAACATGAAGCATGAAGACCAATTCCAGCCAGGAAACGTGGTGAGCATCCATGGACTGATCATCTTGGAATAACAAAAACTGACAAACATGAGTGAGAAATTCCCTGGGGATCCTACCTTCAGTGGCCTCAATACGCTCCTTCCAGTTGACAGGTACAAGCTCCTCCAGAAAAAGTGACCTTGTCAATGGCGACTCCAGTTCCACGTCAGCCTGTTCGTTGTCACAAGGCTCCGGTGAGTCAACGTCGGACAACTTGGCAGTTGCAATCCCAAAGAAAACAGCCCGCAAGGAACGCTGAATCTGCAACATGGAATAATAGTGGTCCAATGCCTGCTGTCGACATGTCTGAAGCGACCACGGCCTATTCCGGTTGGCAATGCCCGCAAGCGTGTCGGCATGCTGATTGTGCATCGCGATCCAGTCCTCAAAAGGTGACTCAGTCCTAGTTGTACACAAATGTGACGGAACGTGCCTGACCAGGAAATCCTCTGCCGGCATTTGCTGAAGCAGAGATTCCAGAACATCCCACAGATCATCATTGTCATCCGATCTACGAGTCAGATTGCGGATGTCCGCAACGCCTTTCACAACGCCCAGAGCATCCGCCCAGACAATGCATCGCTTGTGAAATTTCAATGCCCAGTGAGCCGCAGAGATCATCGCCAAAAGTTCCGCTCTGGGTGCAGTCTGCATCAAGCCTGGAACTGGTCCACAAGAAGCCGGCTGCTCATCAGTCGCACTAACGACCGCCCAGGCGGCCAAAGCAAAGTCAGCATGTACCGAATGGTCGCATGACCCATCTGTAAAAAGGTGATGCCAGTCGGACTGAGACCCTGAACTATGAAACCACCCCGTACAATCAACCAAACCCGCTAGGAGCGCACGTAGTCTAGGCAGGTGGGGTTGGCAGGAGGCAGGAGGTGGTGTGTCAGTGCAATTGGCAGCTGATCCCATTGATGGATCACTTGCTCGTGCCCCACGCGTTGCTGCTCGAAACGTGGACACTCACAGACTTGGTGGCGCACGGAGTCAGGGACCTGGCAGATCGGGCACATTCCCGTCTGTGTAAGATCAAAACGGGCTTGCTGTTCCCCTGATATGAAGGCACCTGCTCGAAGTGATCCCAGACGGGCGGTATCAAGTGCAGACAGATGCGGGACATCAGCGCGAAGTAAGGCAGGGTCAATGCCCAACAGATCTCGCACGCTGCGCCACCTGATGAAGCCAAGCGTGCTCCAAAAGCCGTTGCAATAGCGGGCCCGGGACACGCATTCAAGATGAATCCAGGCTGTGCACGGGCAATGTGCCGGACTTGTCGAACACAGGACCAAATGATGTAGAAACCAGGATCATACTCGCGCTTCTCATTAATGGAAAGGCGGAGCATGCTGCTGACACCACCTGGCCTGATCTGAAGCGCTTTGGTGGCTGCAGCCCTCAGCTTGGCCAACACTTGCCCGTCAAGGCCATCATCTATAACACAAGTGGAGCACGACTGCGGCGCAGTGCAGACCAAACCGGCAAGAGGGAAGCACACCTTTCCTTCAACTCAGCATTGCGTGTGAATGAACCGAAGGCCATGAACCCGCCAAGTTCCCGGGCGGATTGCGCAACTGGGTGTCCGAGATGCTTGAGTGCTGTGCGATCCTGACTCTGGAGAGCCCAAACAAAGGTTTTCCCCGGATCAAGGGTCAGCCCCAAGGAATCCGCAAAAGCATGAGCAGTCTGAATGCCCATGACCAGGCTCCCCTGGCTGTCAGTGATGCCGGATGAGTTGTCTGCAAAGCTCATGGTTTGAACTTGGGGACAGAATGCGGACATGTAGGCATGAAATGCCCACCCGGCCAAAACCATTGCCAGCGGGGAGAGAGGACATCCCTCGGGAAACCCGCTGTCAGAATGTATAGCGGGTCCTACACATCCCTGGACAAGCGTGCGACGCTCAGTGCGTTGTAGGAAGTTTGTCCAGGGGCGGATAACCGTCCACGGAACACCTGCATGTGCTGCAAGAGCCAGCAATGGAAGCCGAGGCAGATTGTTGAAACATTTCTGGATGTCCGTAGAGTATCCAAGCAATGGAGATTGTCCCTGGCAACAAAGCTCAATCTCGCGCTGAACTGCATACCGCAGCGTGGTGGCAGACATGCCGGGAACAAAGCCCAGCTGATCCTCTGGGAGGTAGCGTCGCAATGAGCGAAGGAGCTGCCTTGCCCTGATACCTGACCAAGTGCGACACACGATGCTGTACAAGCATATGGGGCGGTGTGCCTCTGTGTCAGTGCGGCCGTTGTTTTTGTTGAGCAGGCATACAAACCCAGTGGCTAGCTGTTGAGGCCAAGTGCCATGTTGAGACTCAACCTGGGCCAGAAATGCCAAGGGTTGCTCAACCCGAGGTGGTGGCATGGAACGCAGATCCTGGAGGGCCCAGCCATCAGGGCCACGTGCGGCATGCGGTTTGAAACGTTGCAAGGCACGACTCCACATGGAGGCATTGATTGGAGCCAAATCAAAGGATTTCGAGGGAAGAAAGGCAAGAGCAAAATCCAAAAAGCGTTGCCATGATGATGCAGTCAAGGCTTGATGTTGCTGCCAGCGTGAGGCCCATAAACGACCAAACTCATAATGCAAGTGTTGGGTGGAGGAGAGCGTCTGTACCTGCTCCAATTCCTGCCCAGCAAACAAATTATCAGGGGACGAAAAAGTGCACACCACAGAGTCATGTGATAGTAGCTGCGCTGGAGCACCGGCAATGCTCCAGACGGAGGAACCCCGGTCATCAATTGCGGATTCAGGGTGCACGGATTCCCCAGAAACAGCCAAAATGGCATATTCCTTATGCAACGTGATCGTGGAGACCTGCTCTGACTTTTCTCCACGCAATTCACGGTACACCTGGGCAAGGGACCTGTCATACCGCGCATCCAACACCCGGTTTTGGCTATGCCGCAGGTGCCAACTCTCAAGTTGGCGGAAGTTGCAATGAAATCATCATAAATTTGCACGGCTTCGGCATATGTGGGGACAGCGTCAGGAAGCCAGTGAGAACTTCCAAGCAGTCTGGTGGGTCTGCGTTCCCACCATGACCTAAAGCCGCCTGCAAATCCACGGGATCTCAAAATGGAAGCCCATAAGTCCAGCTGATATGCGCGGGCATGAGGCGAAGAACGAACACTCCCTAAAGCATGCTTCAAGGACTGTAACCTACGTAATTGCTGGAACCAACGTTTGACCTCCAATGAGACCCCATCATGTCGAAGCTGGACTTCACCAGGCCTGCTAGAGCGGGGAGGAGGTCGAGTTTGCTGCAGCTGCTGAGGTCCAACATGCTTGCCACGCCCAAAACATTTATGAGGGATATGGTGATCAGGAGAATCCTTCACAAAACCCCGGAGGCTTCTTTCACAGGCGTGAGAGTAACCGGCGAACCATTGAGTTGAGTCCTGGGACTCAACGGGTGCGTGACAACCATCTCGATGCCAAGCATCGACATTCACTGCGTCCCAAGGAATCAAAGCCGGCATAGGCCAAACCCGATCCGGCAGACTGAGTTTCGCAATTACTGAAGAGTGGCCCAAATGCGACACTGCTCAAGCTGATCCAAATGCCAACAATGGCTCTCACCCCACGCATGCCAAGCACCAGCTGTCGGGTCAGAGAACTCAAGAGACTGTCTGTCCGGGCCAAGGAATCCGGCCACGTGGGCCCCTGTGGATATCCGTAGACGGTCGCCACGCTGACCGTGCAAGAGGCAGGGTAATGCTGCGCAACCATCACCCTACCTGATTCGAAGAGGCCAGAAGGCCCAACAAATTGATATGGTCTGCGTGGGAAGCTTCCAAGCTGAGCAACGCCGGTCCACGTGCCAGCCCAGAGGGAGAGATTTCGAAGGGGAGCAGGTGCTCCACCCAACAGCCGGAGTTGGCAGCCACTGTCGGCTGATAAAGACCTGAGCGAGGCTTGGGCAGATCAGAAAGTGACAGATGGAAAATTCCAAGTCTGGGCCGGGATTGTCCGCTTCCCCATAGCGGAACCCTGAAGAAAGCAGGTGCGCGGAAGGCACCTCAACATGTGGAGAGCCACTCTCAAAACCACACTGAAAGCAGCTCGCAGGAACCAGCCAATGCAA